TTAAGATTGTTAATCTTGAATTGTAAATTTTAACTTATTTCTCCAGTTTAAACCAAATAATACTTTCACAGTATGTCGACATGTCGACAGAGCTAGGCACTCAAGGAACTGAAGAGTCCAAATCTAGGTCAAAGCAATAAATTTTCAAAGAATACATCTTTTACTGAGAAAAAAGGAAAAAACCGCCCCCACCTAGTTGAAGGACACATGTATTTATTATTTTCACTCACAACATCAAGTTAATAACTACTTATTTTACTTTAGAATAATTTAAATTCTTGTTTCAAATTGCATGAACAAAATTTCTGATCTGATAATGAATTTTATTAAGATGTCTGACTGTTCCTTTGTTAATGATGGAAGTGTGATATTGAGAAAATGATACATTTCTTTGAAATAATTTTCCTTATTCCTCTTAAGTAATGATAGAATTGTCTGAAGGTGTTATGATTTGTGGGTCATTGGTAATGCTTCCTGTGGAGTCTTGAATTATTGTGATGAGGGTTTTTTCCATATCATGTTTAAATTGATTAGCTAAATATTTGCCAGATTTATCATTATCTTCATAATGGTTATATTGTAGTCTTTGTAGGATAACTTGTGTCTTTTTACTAATAATGTTATCAAGTTAATTTTTAGTGCCTCTAATTTTCTTCAATGTTTGTGCTATTGGGGTAGTTGCATATGAATTGTATAATTGTTTTAGTTTGTCTTCCAGGTAATTTTCTAAGTTTTGTTCACTTTTCGTTTTGAATGAGTATGAAATTATTTTCCTTCTTGTTACTGTTTTGGCTGTTTCCCAGATGAGAGATAGAGATGTGTTTATTATTTCATTTGTTTCCATTAAAATGACCAGTGTTTCCTAAAGTATTAATTAAATTGTCTTGGCAGTTGTCTTGCATTAGAAATGTGTTGAATCGCCATCTTTGGCTTGCTTTTGTTTCAGTTTTCTTGTGTAATATAAAACTGATGAGGGCATGATCGGATATGATAATTGGATGAATGGTTGGGTTGGAAATATCTGTTATGGAAGAGTTACTGGTAAGAAGTATATACACCACACACACACACACACACACACACACACACACACACACACACACGTGTGCACACGCAGACACATGCATATACATGCATATACACACTTATCCATATATACATACATACCTATTCCTAACCCTACACTCATACATACACACTTGTACACTCACACACATATTTAAATTTTTCTAAATTACTGGGGAGAGAGCAAAATAATAAACAAACAAATCAGAAGAAAACCTTTTGGGGGGACCTAACGTACATGTAAAAAGAGAGAGGAAGAGAAGGAAGAGTAAAAATAAAATACAGCAAAATAATGTAGTTGTAATGACAGACATTAATTGTCTGACAGAAAATAAAACATAATATTAATGAAAATAGAAAACAATAATGAAAAAAAATCTGACTTATTTATACAGTGTATCACAAAAATGAGTACACCCCTCACATTTCTGAAGATATTTAAGTATATCTTTTCATGGGACAACACTGACAAAATGACACTTTGACACAATGAAAAGCAGTCTGTGTGCATCTCATATAACAGTGTAAATTTATTCTTCCCTCAAAATAACTCTATATACAGCCATTAATGTCTAAACCGCTGGCAACAAAAGTGAGTACACCCCGAAGAGACTACATCCCTAAATGTCCAAACTGAGCACTGCTTGTCATTTTCCCTCCAAAATGTCATGTGACTAGTTAGTGTTACCAGGTTTAAGGTGTATGTAGGGAGCAGGTGTGTTCAGTTTTGTAGTACAGCTCTCACACGCTCTCATACTGATCACTGAAAGTTCCAACATGGCACCTCTTCGCAAAGAACTCTCTGAGGATCTTAAAAGATTAATTGTTGCGCCATATGAAGATGGCCAAGGCTATAGGTCAGGAGGATTGCTAACACCCTGAAACTGAGCTGCAGCACAGTGGCCAAGATCATCCAACATTTTTAGCTGGGTTCACTCAGAACAGACCTCACGTTGGTCATATAAAGACACTCAGTGCACATCCAAATGCTGTCTTTGAAAATAGGTACATTGCATTGCTGCAGAGATTAAAGAGGTGGAGGGTCAGCCTGTCGGTGCGACCATACACCGCACACTACTTCAGCTTGGTCTACATGGCTATCACTCCAGAAGGAAGCCTCTTCTGAAGTCTGCACACAAGAAAGTCCGCAAACAGCAAACTGTTTGCGGACTTTGTTCACATGTCCTTTGTTCACATGTCAACAAAGGACATGGATTGCTGGATCCAGGTCCTATGGTCTGATGAGACCAAGATTAATTTGTTTTGTTCAGATGGTCTCCAGCATGTGTGGCAGCTGTCAGGTGAGGAGTACAAAGATAAGTGTGTGATGCCTACAGTCAAGCGTGTTGGTGGGAATGCCATGGTCTGGGACTGCAGGAGTGCAGCAGGTGTTGGGTAGTTATATTTCAGGAACTCCAATATGTACTGTGAAATACTGAAGCAGAGCCTGATCCCCTCCCTCCAGAAACTGGATCAAAGGGCAGTTTTCCAGCATGACAATGACCCCAAATACACATCTAAGACAACCACTGCTTATCTGAAGAGGCTGCAGGTAAAGGTGATGGACTCCATGTCTCCAGACCTAAACCCAAAAGAGCATCATTGGGGCATCCTCAAGTGGAAGGTGGAAAAGCGCAAAGTCTTGAATGTCTGCCAGCTCTGTGATGTTGTAATGGAAGAGTGGAAAAGCATTCCAGTGGCAATCTGTGAAGCTCTAGTGAACTCCATGCCCAGGAGAGTTAAGGTAGTTTCGGTAAATAATGGTGGCTACGCAAAATATTGACACTTAAGGAACTTTCACCAAGTGTAAGTGAGTGTACTCACTTTTGTTGCCGGCAGTTTAAACACTAATGGCTGCATATGGAGTTATTTTGAGGGAAGAATAAATTTACACTGTTATATAAGTTGCACCCAGACTACTTTTCAATGTGTCAAAGTGTCATTTTGTCAGTGTTGTCCCATGAAAAGTTATTCTTAAATATCTGCAGAAATGTGAGGGGTGTACTCACTTTTGTGATACACTGTACATGAGGGTTTTAAAACAAAGTAATAGAATTACCAAAGAAAACAAGAAAAAAGAAAGAAAAAATAAATAAAGTCAATAATGATAATGTTGTGGATAAAAATACAAACCAAGCAGGTATGTATTTACATGCCCCAAAAATAAATAAAAATAAAAAAATAAAATCTTAGTGATGATGATAGCTGTAAAATAGTGTAAAACTGACAATGATTATTATATTAATAAAATAATAATTTACATATTAAAACAAATAATAATAATATTGATGACAACAGTTCTGATAATAAATCTGTTGTATTGAGTCCTTCAATATTAATAATAAAATACGGCAAAAACTCACATATGCACAGAGAAATATACGCTCATCCCCATTCTGCCCCAAGCATGTAATCAGCACAAAATGCAACAGAAAAGCAATTAACAAGAACCTTATTTTAAACACTTAATTCAGCTCAGATAATGAAACGGTCTCCCTTTGATTTCCAAAAATCCAAAAATTGATGGAACAAAACAACTTGTTCTCTTGAGGAAGGTGTCGAGGGTTGGCTGGCGACCCAGCTTGAGGTTCTCAGCAGAACCTGTGGTACTTTTGGTTGGAAACACAGAGGAAAGTATCTTTCTGGTCAAGGAATGGAGAGGCTGCCAAAGCAGGCAGACGCGTCAAGAGCCTTATCTTGTCTCTATGGGAACGCACAAAGGCGGGGTACTCAGAACGCTTTCTCGAAGTTCTACAGTGAACACTTTGAAGGTTTTGAAATAAATCTGCTTCCTGGCAAGCAGGTTAGAAGAAAAAGGTTCGCAGTTCTTGTGTCTCAGTTGGAGGTTGACTCCAAAGGCCTCCTGGGATCCAGGCCTTGCTTTTGTATTGGGAATCAGTTCTTATCTGATCCGCTCCGAGTTTTATTGCAGGGAGTTTGACAGTGACGTCTCTAACACAAAGAATCTGATGTCTCCAGCAGTGGTGTCTCCAGTACAAGAAATGTTTAGAAATAAGATCTGATCAGTTTTTGAATTAAGATGGATTACAATAATTAGTTGAAAATAGATTTATTAACAATATGTAAGTGGTATAAAAATCTCTAAAATGAAATAAAGAAAGAAATAAGAAAAGTAAATGTATGAAAAACGTTTAACATGAAATAAATGAAACAATAGAAATCATGAAATAATCATTTTGGTTCATTTGTTGGAACATTAAACAATTTTATGGGGCAATTTATTTCATTCTCTATCTATTCTTGATTTTTGCAGAATTTGTCCCACTCTGGATTCACAGGACAGGCCAAAACTTATTCTAAGTAGTTCTGAAACTCAATTAGCAACTCTAGTTTACTTATACTTAAATGTATTTGAACTCACACAATTTGTGTGTGAAACTCAGTAATTTTGGTTAAATGATTGTTATTCCATGCATTAACCTTTTGTGTGTGTGTGTGTGTGTGTCTGTCCTGTAGGATGAGTTCCATCCATTCATTGAGGCTCTGCTGCCCCAGGTTCGTGCCTTCGCTTATACATGGTTTAACCTTCAGGCCAGAAAGAGGAAGTACTTCAAAAAACATGAGAAGAGGATGACTAAAGAAGAAGAGAGAGCTGTTAAAGATGAATTACTGGGAGAAAAAGCAGAGGTAGATTTTTTAAATAATGCTGTGCAGCTAGTTATCAACTAAAGTGCTGATTTCATGAACTGAGATTTCTGTTTCTGTATCATTCTGCTACTAGGTGAAACAAAAGTGGGCTAGCCGACTTTTGGCGAAACTAAGAAAAGACATCAGACCTGAATGCAGAGAGGACTTTGTCTTGTCAATCACTGGGAAGAAGGCTGCATGTTGTGTCTTGTCAAATCCTGACCAGAAAGGCAAAATGAGACGAATAGACTGTCTCAGACAAGCTGACAAGGTAAATCGATAGATAAGTAGATATTTTCTGCTAAAGAGAGTTATTAGCAGAAAATAATCACGTTTTCTGCTAGTTATCAGTTATTAGTTTTAAGTTATTTTCACAGTGTATATTCTTGTTAGGAATGATTGAACATAATAGATGAACCAAACTTGTTAATGCCAACTCACAACGGATCAAATGAACACACATTGAAAGCATCAGTATTTTGGCCAATTGCAGTTATTCCTTTAAACCAGCAGGTGGCATAGCCCAGCAGGAGATGCAAATAAATTAGTACACTAAAGTGAATCTTCTATACCTATATATATAGATAAATATAAAATTCCCTTCTCACCCTCTGCTGAATGGTCTCTCTCTCTCTCTCATCCTCTGAGCTCAGGTAATCTACCAGAGACCTGGGAGCTTGACGTGTAAAGTTTATATCAACATAGAAATCTGAGTTTTATAGTACTACTGGCAAGGTGTGCTGTGGTGGTGCAGGGGTTAAACACAACCCATTTATGGAGCCTCTAGTTTTCAATGTGGCTGTCATGGGTTCGCTTCCCGGTCCTCCTCTTCTCTCATTACCCACTTTTTTTTGTCAATTTACTACCAAATAAAAGCCACTAGAACAATTAAAACCTTTTTTTTCAGAAACTACTGGCCATCAATAATCCCCAAATTTATTTTAAAAGACATGCCACTTGAATCTACAAAACACCAGCACCAGTTGCAGTATGTAATCTACTTTTATTTCAAAATAACATCAAACAGCACTGACAACAATATACAACAAAGGTCATACATTCATGGTACTTTGCATTGAAGGTGAAGTGTGCTTTTAAAGTTCGTTGAAAGAGGCCATGGATGGTCTTGTGATCACTGATGGTGAAGTGTCTTTGGTGCTGCTCTTGTTTTCACCAACATGAAGGAGGAAGACTTCCAGCCTGGAAGGAAAAACAGGATATATAGCAGAAACATTAGGATAATAAATAAATATTTTAAAAAGAAGTGTGAACAAAACTAATCAGACTCACCTCTGTGTGTCACCATCATATTCATTCAAATTACTCTGCCCACCCGGTTTACAAGATAAAGCATAAAAAAGTCAGAAATAATTACTAAAGAAATTAGTCAGCTTATAGAAAACATCTGGACAGCATTAAAAGTCGTGCCAACCTGTCTGAATGTGTTGGAGTCATCATAACAGGCTTCAGTCACCAACATGACACACTAACAAAGAAAAACAATTTTGGCAGTTTTTAGATGTGCCACAGGTACAAAACACCAAAGTCAAATGGCTCAATTGCCTCCTCACTGTGTAGATATGTTCTCCAGAGTCCTGCTAATCACCTAATTATTGTATTCAGGTGTGGTGCTGAATGGCACATCTAAATGTTGCAGGACAGTGGCCCTCCAGGACTGGAGTTTGACACCTGTGGCATAGATCAAGCCAACGGTCCAGCACAGCCACTCCCCCATTTTGCAGTCTACAGCCAAAAACTTAAAGAAAACGACCTCCGCAGCTAAATAATGTTAACTCAAATGGCCTCCAGATTTTCCTGACAGTTTTAATGTTCGGTTAAGATAATAAACAGTCATATATACCGTGATATCCAAACAAATAAACGTACGTTAAGCGAACTATGTATATGAATCGATACTCTTGTGTAAACGGAAGAATAATGCCTCCATAAAAAATAGTCAAAAAAAATGATCATTTTAACATGGAACTTACCTTGTTATAATAAGCTCCAGATAAGACGCCATTCTGCTGCCTCCGCTCCTCATGCAAACATGTGACGCAGTAGTGGGCCTAAATAATAAAGCTCATGATAATTTAACTTTACAACATGGACATGCCCGCAACAGCGGCGCTAACAAGTTTCATCACCACAGAGAGCGACTATGTCATTTTGAAGTCCATCTGACATGAAGTACAACAAACCAAGAGAAGAACAGAAACATCCGGCTACTGGTCACTAATGATGAAACAACACAAATTCAAAACATGTTAACATAGTTTGTAGAAATGCTCTAGCTAGTTTGCCATTTGTTGCCAAGTG